GTCAACCTTTCATACCAAGCTCTAGGAGCTTGTTTCAGACCATATAATGCTTTCCTCAATTTGTAGACATGATCAGGACAGTTTGGATCCACAAATCCTTTAGGCTGTTCCACATACACTTCCTCATTTAAGTACCCATTTAGGAAGGCACTCTTCACATCCATCTGAAACAGCTTGAACTTAAGGAGACAAGAAACTCCCAAGAGAAGTCTGATTGATTCCAGTCTGGCTACAGGAGCAAAAGTATCATCAAAATTAACCCCTTCAACTTGAGTGTATCCTTGAGCAACAAGCCTTGCCTTATTCCTGGTGACAACTCCTTCAGCATCTGACTTGTTCTTGTAGATCCACTTTGTGCCAATGATGTTTGTTCCTTCTGGTCTAGAAACTAACTCCCATACTTCATGTTGCTTGAACTGGTTCAATTCATCTTGCATTGCTCCAATCCAGTATTCATCAGTCAAAGCCTCTTTAACATTTTTTGGTTCAATCTTAGACACAAAACAAGAGTTTGTGATGATTTCTCTAGATCTTGTAGTGACTCCACTGTTAGGATCTCCTATGATGAGTTCCTTAGGATGATATTTCTGAATTCGGATGGAAGGATCTTTGTTAGCTTCCTTTGATTCAGACTCTGATGGAGTAGGATTAGGCATATCATCCTTTTTAGACACTTGTGTTGAAGTCTCAAAGAATGTCTCAACATCATATGGGACATTTGTTTCCTCATGGTGATCATCAACTATGACATTTATAGACTCCATCATAACTTTGGTCCTGGAATTGAACACCATATATGCTCTGCTGTTGGTAGAGTATCCTAGGAATATTCCTTCATCACTTTTAGGGTCCATCTTTCTCCTTTGTTCACGATCTGTCAGAATATAGCATTTTCTCCCAAAGACATGGAAGTACTTCACTGTAGGCTTTCTTCCTTTCCATAGTTCATAAAGGGTGGATGATGTTCCCTTTCTCAAGGTGACCCTATTGTGGACATAACAGGCTGTATTCATAGCTTCAGCCCAAAAATGAATAGGAAGCTTCTTGGCATATATCATTGCTCTGGCAGATTCCTGTATAGTCCTGTTTTTCCTTTCCACAACTCCATTTTGTTGAGGAGTTATAGGTGAAGAGAACTCATGATTGATTCCTTCTGAGGAACATAACTCATCAAACTTACTATTTTCAAATTCCTTACCATGATCACTTCTGATTCTGACAATGCATCCTTCTTTTTCTCTTTGAATTCTTTTGCACAATTCCTTAAATACATCAAATACATCAGACTTTTCCCTAATGAAGTTTATCCAGGTGAATCTGGAAAAATCATCCACAACAACATAGGCATATCTCTTTCCACCAAGACTTTCCACCTGCATGGGACCCATCAGATCCATATGTAGAAGTTCTAGCACCTTAGAGATGGTCAGATGTCTTGTCTTTGGATGTGACATTCTAGTTTACTTTCCAACCTGACATTCACCACAGACTCTCCCTTCATCAATCTGAAGCCTTGGAATCCCTTTGACAGCCCCCATGGATATGATATTTTTCATCCCTCTAAGATGTAAATGACCAAGTTTTTGGTGCCATAGTTTCACTTCCTTTTCTTCTTTGGCTATATAGCACACAAAAGAGTAGTTAGTGTTCTCAGACTCCCATAAGTAACAGTTGTCTTTTGATCTGACTCCTCTCATTACAACTTCTTGTTTTTCATTAGTTACAAGACATTCAGACTTGGTGAAGTTGAACTTGAATCCTAGATCACATAATTGACTGATACTTATGAGATTAGCAGTCAAACCATTTACCAGTAACACTTCATTTAGGTTTGGAACTCCAGGACAGTCCAAGTTTCCAACTCCTTTGATTTCTCCTCTAGCACCATCTCCAAAAGTGACATAACTAGTAGTATGAGTTTTGACATCAGTCAGCAGATTCTTGATTTCAGTCATGTGTTTAGAGCATCCACTGTCAAAGTACCAGTCTTCCTTGGCAGAAACTCTAAGGGAGGTGTGAGATATCAGGGCTGCAGTCTTTTTCTTCCACTGTTGAGTATATGGTGCCTTGTTAGTCTTAGGTTTGACATATGGGGTCTGATTAGGATATCCATATAATCTGAAGCAGAATGGCTTTATGTGACCAAACCTCCCACAATAATGACATCTCCATCTTTTATACTTTTTCTTTATATTTCTCTGTTCTTGATGTTGATTCCTATGTTGTGACATCTGCTTTGACATTTGTTTATCAGGCCTGGTCTTCTTCTTGTCAACAGCAGATTTCTTTGCAGCCACAAATCCTAGACCAGACATGTTTCCTGCATTTTGTCCAGCCTAAAGGATTTCTCCCAACTTGTCAGTTCCAGTTGTTAACATCTTGACAGACTTAGTCATCTGATCAAGTTTGGAGTTCAACATTAGAACTTCACCTTTGAGATGGCTTATAGTAGCAGTGGCTGCCTTCTTCTCAGCCTCCAACTTCACTATGAGCTTTTTCTGTTCCTCATTTTGCTGACAGACTTCAGCACTTCTGATACATAGCTTCTTGTAGGAGTCAGCAAGTTCTTCAAATGTTACTTCCTCATCACTAGAATCATTATCAGAGTTACAAACACTAGATAGTGCAGTAACTAGTTTAGCAGATTCTTCTTCAGAGTCACATTCTGAGTCACCATCAGACCAAGTAACAGACATTCCTTTCTTTTGTTTCTTTAGAAAGGTAGGACATTCATCTCGAATGTGCCCATATCCTTCACATCCATGGCATTGGATTCCTCTGCTTTGATTTCCCTTTTCTTCAGACTTAGTTCTTCTGTTGGAGTCATAGGATCTGCTAATGTTAGAGGAAATGTTCTTGACATTTGACCTTGACTTTGGGTCCATTCTCTTGATGAGTTTTTTGAACTGCCTTCCAAGCATAGCTATAGCTTTTGATATATTCTCTTCATCACTCTCCTTGCTTTCATCTTCAGTATTGGATACAAGGGCTATGCTCTTGTTTTTCTTGTCAACATTGTCACTGATCCCCATCTCAAATGTCTGAAGTGACCCAATGAGTTCATCAACCTTCAAGTTGCAGATATCCTGAGCTTCCTCTATAGCAGTCACTTTCATTGCAAACCTTTTAGGCAAGGATCTGAGAATCTTTCTCACCAGCTTTTCTTCTGACATCTTTTCTCCCAATGCTCCTGAGGTGTTGGCAATTTCCAAGATGTTCATGTGAAACTCATGAATGGTCTCATCTTCCTTCATCCTTAGATTCTCAAATTTGGTAGTGAGCATCTGAAGTCTTGACATTTTTACTTTGGATGTACCCTCATGGGTGGTTTTGAGAGTGTCCCAAACATCCTTGGCCAGTTCACATTGATGTACTAGTCTGAATATGTTTCTATCAATTCCATTAAACAAGGCATTAAATGCTTTAGAGTTACCCAGAGCTAACTCTTCTTCTTCTTCGCTCCATTCTTCCTCAGGTTTCAGACTAGTCGTCCCTTTTTTCCCAGTTATGGTGGGATGGTTCCATCCTTTGTCAGCAGCTCTCCAAGCTTTATTGTCCAGTGACTTCAAGAAGGCAATCATATGAGGTTTCCAGTAGTCATAGTTTGATCCATCCAGAATAGGTGGTCTGTTCCTAAATCATCCTTCCTTGTCCATAGCACCAGAAAAAAACATCCTTAGATCTCACCTAGAAAGACAGACAGGGTGCCTGCTTTGATGCCAATTGTAATTCTGGCAACAGATACTTAATGTCACAGTGAATGTTATGACACCGTATTTGACAAATTGAACACAAACCAAACAGTAATTTAAAAGACAGTAAAGAACACAATCAATTGTTAACCCAGTTCAGTGTATAACAACACCTACATCTGGGGGCTACCAAGCCAGGGAGGAAATTCACTATAAGAGGTATTAATTTAGGAATAAACCAACCCGTTTATCTCCTTCACTTAAGACCTACCCAATGCAACTTCAATCTAAGTCCTACTTAAACCTGAGTTCCTACTCACTCCCCATCAATCACAGCAGTGATACTAATCTACTGATTAATAAGATTATAAAGACATTCTTCAATACAAACGTTTGATTTTGCTTCAAAGCTTTAATCAAGAGACACAACACTCGTGCTTCAAAGCTTTGAGTGATAAACAACCCTTACAACCAAATCCTACTCCAAGTCACTTATCAAGTGATAATTGCTTGGATCACAGTAATTACTAAAACTATCACAACTACAAAATGCCTTATTGATCTTCTCTGAAGCACACTACAAGAAAATTGGCAGATTGCGACAGGTATTTTTGTAGATCACGACGGTTAAAACCGTCGCAATTTGCTTTCCACGACGGTTGCTTTACCGTCGCAGAAGTGTGTGTCCCCAACCTATTTCGCGACGGTTACAAAAACTGTCGTTCAAGTTTACGACGGGTTGATACCGTCGTGAATATCTTTTGAGTTTCTTTTTAATTATTGATGGCGACGGTTCGATACTGTCGTGAATATCTTTTGAAATTGATTAAATTGTTTATGGCGACGGTTCGATACCGTCATGACTTTTGTTGATTACGACGGTTCGGTACTGTCGCCATGACTTTTGTTTATGTCTTGATTTTTTTTATTTTTCTATTATATATATTTTTTATTTAAATTATTATCTATGTAAAAAATTTTAAATATAGTTTTTTTTTTGTGTTATTTTTTTCTTTAAATTATTTCTTCTTTAATATATTTATTTATAGTATTATTTTTTGTTTTATTTTCTATCACTTTGTAATATAGTAAAAATAATTTCAATAAAAAATATTTAACATCAAATAAGCATTATAATATCCAAAAAAATGTGTGTTCCATAATCATGTAAAATGCGAGTTCCATAATCATGTCAAGTAGTACAAAAAACCCAAAATATATCAATTTCTAATTTTATAATAATAAGTATCATTATGCCAAAAATACATGAGAAAGTTCACAATCTAATTATCTTGATCATAGCAAAGTCTAATTTGTCCCCCCTGAAGTTCCATTATCTCCAATACGATAGCTAGACTCAGATGAACGTCTACCATCAACAGGATCAGAATTGTATTCTTTAACAAGAAGTGGGTGATCACAAGCCTGACGGAGACGTAAAAGCATCAAAATAATATTTGCATAGTTTTGATTCACTGTACGACAGCAACATATGCCTGCAAATTACAAGCATTACTTTTCAAAATTACAAACTGAGAACATCCATCAGTGTAGAAATATCAGATGAACAAAATCATATAATTCGTAATTGACATGCCCACTGTCAAAATAAATTTCTAGACACTAATTTAAAAAAGAAAAGACAAACAGTATCATTACAATATGTCCAAGTTAATATAAGAAATTTGAAAAGAAATAAACTTTAAATTGAGAACGTGAATCAGCTTCCAACTTTTTGTAGTATACCAAACTCCAAAATATTTAAAAGGTCCTATGTTGTGTTTGTCCCTTACTTTTTGCTGAAATTCTTTCACAAGTACATATAAAATTCTATTACCATTTACATTTTATTAAAATGACACAATTTTATTTTGTGTTGCATTTGTTTTAAAAAGGCTAGTGATACAGTTTAACATTTAGCTCTTAAGTTATAATCATTACCCATCAATTTATGTTGCACATGACTACTAAAATTTATAACTTAACATCCCACTGCAATGGTAAATGAAATGAATTATGAATACCTCAGAACCTTCTTTTATGCATTCATCATACTGCCTTGTCTTCAAGTAGCAGGCCATCAAGTTAAGTGAGCATGCCAAAAGAAGTTTTCTACTTTGAAAAGATGGAATCTCTTTGATGTTTTCCTTGGCCTAAAATGTAAAAATTAAAACAAGGTGATATAGACTTATAGTGATAATTTCCTATAGTCTCAAAATAGAGATAAACAACAATGAAAGGTGTGGAGGAGACAGTTAAGCAATCTGAAAAGTCAACCTACCAACTTATACTTCTGCAAAGCATCATCGAACTTTCCTTAAAATCCATACAAAATTAAAAAGCATCAACAAAATTTTATAACAATATTACCCGAGCAACATCTAAAGTGTCAAAACAACCAAAATCTTCATTGTAACAACATTTTGCCCATTCATCGATCAACCATCACAACTCACAACCGGAAGTTTGTAATCTTCGACAACACTACACTTGTTCATATGCAAAGTACTTCATCTTCCAACAATAAGAGGATTTTTGTTCTTGTAAATGTAATAGCTCATACACAATTTCTCTAAAGTTGCAACAGAATGCTGCATAGGATTTAGCTTTATATCCATCATCATTCTCTGCCATAATAACAACAAAACATTAAACAGCCTCCTGAACAGTACCCCTGACAGTGTTGCTAACTTCAAGAACAACAGATTTGACAAACTGCCCTTCATGATATCCAGACAACGGATCAGGAACCCATTTCTCTGTAAGTTCAGTAAAATGCACTTTTCCATATGTATGAGGACCAATTTGTACAAGCAGTCCTCCAACACCAGGAAGTATTTTACTAATCCTTCCTCCTAAAATATCTCCTTCACGAATATGTGCTGTCAACTCCTTATTCACAAGGTTAGTTTGTGGCTCTTCATCAGTTCTGAGAGGGAGAGTAGAGAAGGGGCGTAGAACCAACCGCAAGAGCTTCTTCTCCAAGTTGAAACTCAGAACATGACCAGAAACAAGTCTTCCAACATGATATCGATTTTGGAAATCCTCAAGCTCATTGGGTTCAGTAGAACTATCAAGAATATGTAGCTGAGCTTTAACATTTCGAGAAACTGCTAACCAGACCCATTCACTTTCGACTTTATATATATAACCAGCCACACATTGCCCAATCTTAAAGTCCAGTTTCTCTGATATATTGTCTCCTGTGTCACTGGAACCTGTAACCATTTCAGGTCGGACTGAAAGCTCCCACCGTGATCCATTTCTGCTGCTATCAGCATCATTAGGCTTTGAAACTATTCTTGCCGTCATTGTTTGCCCAATTTTGTAGCCAGAAAATGGATTTTCCAAATCATTTGCATCATGTACCTCTGTTATGTGAACCCTGCCGTGTAAGCCAAATCCAAACTTCAGTTTCAGCTCAAAAGTTTTTATGTCAGTAATCTCTGCCTCAACCAGTGATCCCACTTTATAGCTAGACTTCTTGGTTCTTTTAGAACTAGATGTCCTGTTGACCTCATTCAGATGTAAAAGTAACCTTCCTGATGTTTCAAGGCTTGTAAGAGCCATAACAGATGCAACAACACTCTGTCCATTTAGATATTGTTTCCGCGGAAATCTTTGAGTATTATAGTCAGATAATTGTGCATATCCTAGGGTGTAATTATTCTCAGGAATAGATACAACCAAGTAGTTCTCTTTCACAATTTCCACTACTGCATTCACTGTCTGATGCAGCACCAAGCCCTTCAGAGCATCCCTTTGACGTTTCTTTTTCTTGGTATGACTCATGGAACTTCTTTCTCTAGATATATTAATGAACTCTGGTTTTAGAGTTAAATCAACAAGCCGTTCTGCCTTTGCGAAATCAAGAACAAATGCTTCCACTAGAGATCCTTTCTCCACAACAGTTCCACCTAACTGGTAATTAGTAATAAAACCAAAAACATCATTGTACTTCTCAAAGCAAACAACAATTCCAACATCCTTAATTTCCTCAACTCTCCCTTCAGTAAGTGTGCCAATGTTGAATTTTTCATCCCATTTCAAATCAGATTCACTGGGGCTCTTGTATTGCAACTTAGCAATCTTTTCATCCATAAGAAAGTACTCATTAATAAATGATGCATCTGCTGAAGAACAAGATGTCTGCTTTAGAGAGACTGTTACTCTGCCAGTTTCACCGCTAATATTGGATACATTACAGCGAACAGATTGCCCAATGAAATAGGCTTCCAAGATATTGGTTTTCTGGTCATCTGCAGCCTTATTTCTTGGAGAAAAGCCAGTTAATTGACCAAGGAAACGAACAAAGCATCCTGTCTCAATTAAGTTACATATATAACCATGTACAACTGAGTTAGGATGCATCTGACTAATCTCTGAAGGAATCTGCTGAGCATATTTGATAAGCGAACTTTTGGCAGACAGAATCATATTGTTCCCCTTAAAATCTAGAACCAGTAGTTTATCAAAATTATAACCAGGTTTCAATACTGACTTCATCAGAGTAGCTTGCCCATGATGATCTGCCAGATGCTCCATAGATATTGTACCCCTGGAGAAACCACTGCTATCGATATAAACAACTACAGCATTAGATGTTACTCTGTCAACAATTCCAGAAACAATGCTACCCAGTGTAACCATGTCATCTTCAGAAACCCTTGTAGGCTTTATAATTAAACTAAGGTTGATCCTCCGGGAAGCGGGAATGGAACTAACGACCCGGCATTTTACCACTTGTCCAACATTATACACTTCAGGATTGATCTTTGCAACACATCCAGCATGAACCACTGTGTACTCACTGAATGTAGAGGTGCCCACGAAATGGTTTATGGGCTCTCCATTGATAGAGAATCTAGACTTGTTATCATTGAGCATGACACCTCTGTCAGTGTTGATCCTAAGAAGATCACACATGTTGCTCTCCTCTGACTTACAATGTGGACATTCACCACACTCCCCTGTGAATACAGGCAGGGCTTTATCCCCTGGTTTCAGATGAGTCACACCTTCACCTACGCTCTCCACGATCCTGATAAACATCATTCATTCACATTACATACTAAATTACTGATACACTAAATAATCAAGACATTTTATCAGAAGAGAAGCATATACCCTCCAGCTTCATGACCAAAAATACGAGGAAACAATGGAGTCTGACCCTGAAACAGTGGCAAAAAAGAGAAAACCATGTTAAGCTATTGCGATTCATAACAACATACAGAAACAAAACACACTATTTTCTTAACTGTACGACCAACTTCAGAACCATCAGATTCATCCAGCTGCAGCTGATTGTGTTCGACCACAGTGTTATCCCATTGCTTTCTGTAGTGATTGTCCATGTAGAAGTTTCTTAGCATCTCGGCGGAAATATCATTGAACACAGTCATACTCCAATATTTCAGGGGACCATTCTGCAACATCCAAGGACAACAAGTTCTTCAGCGGGTGTCTAGTTAAAGTATTAGTTTTTCATGTCTTAGATAGTTGAAAAGAAGCAGGAAAGGTATGAGCGATAGTGAGTGGAGAGTTTAACCTTAGGTTTGGTGGATTTAGCTTTGTAGCATAGATGATGATTTGTTTTATCTATGACATCCTCCCATTTATGGTTCTGATTTAGAATTTCATCCATTAAAAACTTCAAATCAGCATCAGTGACAGTGTTTGAGGTTCTGCAATTGTAAACCCTAAAAAGCCCCAATTTCAGTAAAGCGTATGAAATTGAACGAAAATAAAATGAATAAAGTAGAGTAGTAGACCTTGGGTTTAAATTGCTAGAATCGGAGATCAAAGAGGACGCCAACAGGGATCTGCTCTTACGGTTCAGAAGAAACAATAAAGTAACAACAACAACAACAAGAAGAAGAATAGCGCAGCCACCATAGAAGTTGCTCAAATTTAAAGGGAAGCCATCGAAGCTTCTTAAGGTTCTCATCGAATTGATGTGGTTGAAGTTTGTACAGAGAAAAAGCAAAAGTATGAAGAAATTTGGAGAAAGATACGTGAACAATAAATAAAAAGAGAAATAGACGAAGCGGGGTAAAGGATTTAGGGGGACGACGGGTGTGGTTACCGTCGTGCCCTTTCATAACTTTTGCATGTTTTTTAAAGGTTTAGGGGGGCGACGGTTGTTTTACCGTCATGATGTCTATTTTAGGACGGTTTCTTAACCGTCGCAACATTCATTTTAGGGCGGTAGGTGTATACCGTCGTGACATGGGTCCCTATATTAGAATTACGACGGTTATTAAGTAACTGTCGCAATTTTTGTGTCGTAAAATCCTAATTTTCTTGTAGTGGCACTGCACACCATTAGGATTCGTGAGAAATATATATGCAGTCTGTTCTTCATTTTGGGCTTCCATAAAAATAGCTAGGGTTAACCAAAGTTAACCTAAAGACTTGGTCTTGGGCTTTCATCATAACAAATTAGGGTTAAGCAAGGTTAACCTAATATCCACGTGAGCATCTGATCTAGTCAATATACTTCAACTCAGAATAGCACACCAGATTCCTGAAAATTCTCAGGAACAATAAATATGCACAACAACTTGATCAGTACAGGATGTCTTAATATTGGTTATGACATTGGTTATGACATCATGTATCCTGCTCACTGATTTTTGTAGAATTCAGTACATATGATCATAGCTTAATCATCATGATATTCACTCATGCTGAGTTGTTCCTGTAGAACATTCCTTCTGCAGAATTTGTCTTTATCCCAGAATGTTATGACATCAGTCATGACATTCGCAAATCTGGGTTTACCAAAAATTAATGCCAACAAGCAAACACTTACAGTATTTATCATCAGTGGGAGGATATTGTTCCTCAGAGTAGTCAGCTTCAACTTCATCAATCCCCATACTGTCATCTTCTTCATGATTATTCCCCTCATTTGATGGAGTTGAGAGATCTAGAGCTCTCTTGATTGGTCCTCTAAGTCTTCTTCCCAAATTTAGGATGCCTACTGACTTCTTTGACTTTTTCTTCTTGTCTTTGAGCAGAAGAGTCTTCAGGTCCTCTTGCCCCTTAGCCATAGCCAGGAACATTTGTTGGAATTTTGCATTTTGTGCTTGGAGATCCTTCACCGTTTGTTCCATATCCATCTTACTGAAATAAACAGTAGGAAGATAAGGAGACCTATATGGAGAAACCTGTCGTGATATAATGATGCATGTTTTCAAGGATCTCGCGGGGTAGACACACAAGAAGATGTTAGAAGTTACTTACATCTTTGATTGGAGAACTTCATATCTGTGGATGTCCTTCCACCAGAATTAAGCTCACCATGTCAAGTGGGTCATAGCCCTTGACTCAAGTTACCGTGCTTTGGTCTTTGACGGTGTTTGATTAGAGACTGAATCCTTTTGCCCCTTGATAGGCGTCTGGTTCAACATGACCCTGCATCATAGACCCTCGAGATCCTTGAAATGGTTATTGAAAATGTCATGGTATGATGTCATGATGTTATGTACAAGTATGCAAAGCAAGCAAGTTGTTATGTACAAATAATCATATACACACAGACAAGTCCTTATGTTTAGGCTTGCATGGGTGTTCTGCGTTTGATCGCATTTGTTGCGGATAACAAGAGTCATCACCGACTTTTCTTTTATCCAAAAGGAAAGGTTGAAAAGAATAGGAAAGACCTTTCGAGATTATTTCTTGAGTTCGGGGGGTAGGTTATGAAAAGGGAAGGTATTAGCACCCTTTTCATCCATAGTTATCTACGGGCTCTTAGTTGCTTGCTAGATCACTTGCTTTTGTTTGAAAATGTGCTTGTAGTATGGGTTTTGAACTTATTTTGAAAACGTCTTTGTAATGGTTTTTGTTTCTATAAGAACGCGTACAAAGTGTTGTTTTGAAAATAGTTCAAAGAGGTGTTTGTGGAATGTGTTTTTAAAAGTGATTTTGAAAAGGTGTCTCTATAATGGTTCTCCTTTCTATAAGAACACGTACAAAGTGTTTTAACTTTTGAAAATGTTTCAAATGAAAGTGTAAGTGTATAAATTTTTTTTGTTATGATCAAGCGAGCAACTAGGAGCAACCTACCTACTCAAAAGGTCTTAAATGTTCTTTTCCTCCTCCTTTAGATGTTCCTATCTTACCATTGATTTGGTAAGAAGCCCCATCGTTGGAAGTGAAGGGACGGGTATGGAACGTTTGTATAGTCATAGAAGGAAAACTATGGGACGTTTTAGCAATGTCGTAAGGGACGAGATCATTTTATCAAAGGCAACATCGAAGGACTACGATCTTTTTATCGAAGGGTCTTTGCTAAAGCGTCCCATATTCGAGGGACATGAATATTTTTCCGAGGCAACAAGTGGAATTACCCTAGAGGTGTAAGTGTGCAAGTGTGTTTTATTGCATGCATTGTTTTTGGTTAGAGTTGTCTAAGATTTGTTTTTATCTTGCCACACCCTATTTTACTAGCAATGAAAATCGGTAAGTTTGCGGAAAAATTAAATCATACGCTATTACATTAGTAGGGGAGTGGGGGTACAATTTACAAGTGGGATGGAGAGGATGTCTAAATATTACAACCATATCGAAATAAGATATGAAGCGAAAAAATATGAAAACATGTGAAAAGAATGGAACAAAAATAAAGGAAAAAAATCCTTCGATTTTCAGTGTTGAGGCATATTTCGAATCATGCATGTATGCGTCGAAACATGCTCTCCTTCGACCCTGTTTCTACAAATTGAAACCAGTGTGATTCTAAGAGTAGGTCTTTTGATTCATACATCCCTTCTGCTTTCCTGCAAGTCGGTGTGTTCGAAGCAAGTGTGTATCGAAGCATGTGTGTACAACGAACAGGTGTGTGTCGAAACACATATTCTTTTTCTTTCTGCTTGAGCCTATCGAAGTCTAAAGAATTTGTATCGAAGTATGCATATTTTTTTTACTCCAACATTTTTAGGGTCTATACAGATTAGTTCTTAAAGGAAAACACAAAATATTAACATTGAAGGCCATGGTTATTACATGTTGGCCTCGAAGATGAATTAATAAAGATGCTTGAAATGAAAGAGTTAAAGTCAGAAAGACTTACCTCAAATTTGGTGTGTGGGTTTCAAACTTGAACTGCTGCCTGGACGGTTCTGGAATTCGAAGAGTTGTCACAAGGGGTTTGCTTTTGGTTCGAAGAGTTGTCACAAAAGATTGTCCTTGAGTTTGAATAAACTTCTATGCGTGGGGTGTTCTGGATAGTTGATTTATAAGAGTTGGAAAGATGAGATAATGGATTTTTTTTGTGTTTGTATGTGAAAGTAGAGTTGATTTTTTGAGTGAGCAAATTACAAGGTTTCTGTTTTGTTTCCCAGCTCTCTTTTCTCTCCTCTCAGCGTCTCCAGCCCCCCTTGATGTTGTGAAGAATAGTTTATTTATAGAGGATCTTTGTTGTGGTTTGGGGGGGGGGGGGGGGGGACAAATAACATTTGAACTGTTTGGGTATATTTTCCCCTTGTTTTCTTTGAAGCAGCTCTTATGTATCCTTTTTTGTGTAAGTATGGTACTGAGACAATGCAGGCTCAGCAGTATTTTGGAGTGTTGTTGAAGCTTGGTGCAGGACTGTAGAATAGAAGTACAGATGGCTTGGGCTTGGCAGTATATAGGACTTTGGTCAACAAACATCTTGAATATTTCACCCTTTCGTTTTGATCACTTCGACCAGACTCATCATCAGACAATAACGTTCATTTCCAACAATGTGTGTTCTGCGAATGGATCCATTATATGTCATTCGAATCCACCAATTATAATCCATAGTGTTGAAGAGTTTAGAGGTGTAATCTAAGTACGTTGCTTCAAAGGGTTTAATTGCCCAACTTGTGGATCGAAGGAGGTTACCTTGAAGGAAATCATATTCCTAGCTTGTGGATCGAAGGGGGATACTTCGAAGGAAGCCATATGCCCAGTTTTTGGATCGAAGGGGGTTACTTCGAAGGAAGCCATATGCCCAGTTTGTGGATCGAAGGGGGTTACTTCGAAGGAAATCATATGCCTAGCTTATGGATCGAAGGGGGATACTTCGAAGGAAGCCATATGCCCAGTTTTTAGATCGAAGGGGGTTACTTCGAAGGAAGCCATATGCCCAGTTTGTGGATCGAAGGGGGTTACTTCGAAGGAAGCCGTATGCCCAGTTTGTGGATCGAAGGGGTTTACTTTGAAGGAAACCAATGCCCAACTCGAAGCTTGTGACTTAAGGGAGACTACATTGCCCAATTGAACTTTGCTAAATCGAAGCAAACTTGTTTCTTTTTTGACCTAATCGAAAGGCACATTAACATCTTTAAAATTTTACATTTTCTTTATTTCTTTAAACATGTTTTTATAATCACACATGCGAGAGAAATCTTGAGAAAATGAAAGGGAAAATTTTGGGGTACAACATTTATGAATGGACATATTATGTCAGCCACTGGAATATAATAAGATGACTCATTTGGACCAATTCTTCTTGCCCTTGTTTTATACTCACTTATTCATCAGATTAGCGACAACTGTAAGAATTGTCTTCATGTCTGGTAGTTTAATGATGGGACCATTATAGGAGATTCAGAAGATGTGGCTAAAGCCTTTGACATCATTTAGGAGACCAATCCATGATTAGATCTCGAATTGAAGATTAAAAAAATTGAGATATTTTGACCTTTGTGTGATGGTGGTAAACTTCGTGGAGAGTTATTTTCTTCGAACATTAGGATATCGACGTTGGGGATAAAGTTACTTTGATGGATGTTACTCTAGATGAAGACTTTAGAAAAGTATTGTCCATGAAGAGAGTGGTCAGAGTTGTTGAGTTAATGCATCTTCTGCCATAAATAAGGGATCCTCATTGTGAGCTTCTTATACTTCAATCTTGCATGGGCATCAACAAACTCTTTTTTGGCTTTATAACGTGTCAACCTAATCATATGGAGA